GATGTCAGACTGAGAAGGAAATTGCCAACATTCCTCTGACACATCTGACGTGAACAAATGTCCCGCCCCAAGAGTTCTTCAACAGTACCTCTTTGTGAACCTTTTTCTGGCTGTTACTGTGGTCAGGCTGTGTGTAAACCTACAAGTTGTGCATAGTTTCAAGTAAAGTTTACTAATAATTTGTTACCTATATACATTTAAAATGGACTCAAACTGTTCATTAGTGCAAAACCGTAGTGCTTCCAGCATCCTCAATACTGTTGTGTTGCTGTAATTCTGCCAGTGAACATTACTGTAATATGATTACCAGAACTACAAACAGCTGCGTCCTTTAAAAAGGCAGTTACTGCTGTTACCTGTACAGAGTCAAAGTATTTATGTTCTTTTGAAAAAGCCACAAAGTGCATTCAAAACTTGCAAGATCCAAATACCTAGACTTTTAGGTAGTTTCTGCCGCACCCTGGTAAAACAAACCACATTTAAACACAGGTGATGTTCCACAGGCTTTTTCCAAAAGTACTGCATTTTTGCACAGTGACCAAGCGCTGTAACCTAAAACACATGGCACCTGTTTGTGGTTGTTATAAAACATTAATTAATTATTTAGTTAAATTTAGCATATTTAACATCATTACACGTGGTGCTATCCACTGGTAAATTATTTGGGTTCATTTAAGCAGTCAAACCTCACTCCCATCTCCACACCAACTCAAAAAAGAGCTCATGTACCATCACTGGTAGCAAGCAGGTTGGGCTGAAGTACAACATATTGATAAAATATAACGTATTTTTAAGTACTAAGAAGCAATTATTGAAACGACCACCAGAGGGTAGTGTTGATCCAGCAATGAGGGATTTAGCTGCAATTCTGTGTCTATGCCACGTTGTACAATCGGCTTCTATCCCATAATTAATATCATACTTTATTTTGTTATTGGCTTTAATACCGAATGTGAAAGAATCATTGAAATAGGTGTTTATATTATTTCCTACTTGTACCAATTTCAGAACCAAATCCTTACTCGAAAGCCAGAGTGCGTGCTTAATGTGTGACAGCAAATACAGTCCTTAAGTACTGTGACACAGTCTCATGTCTCTGACTGGACATTATTAAACGGGGAGTGGACTGAACCATGTTCCAGAGATCGTGGGTTATTTTGTCCACTATAATAATGTTGGGATTAAACTGATGATGCAAATACATTTGTGAGCAGAACCACAGGAATTCTACAGACTTCTTGAAGGACATTCAAAGCTCTTCTTCGGATGTTGGCTGCCTTTTTGTCTCTATCAAGATGATTCCACACTGTTTCAATAAAGTTGAGTTTCATTGTGTGTTTTTCTTTCCAGGAAAGCTTCTATTATATATAATGAAAAAATTCAAATTTTAGTTCATCACTTGATAAGACCGGATATCTCTAATTTTAATCACAGTTCTTGTGTTATCTGACATTTTTTGTATATTCAAAATATTATTATGTGTTTTTGTTACAGAGTGCTTGTAACAAAGTGCCAGAAGATATTATTTAAAATGGGTTCTTTGCTAAGCTGTTTCTTACTTGCAGATGCAACACTGGTTTATCCGCCGAGTTTGCTGCCTTTTGTTTAATGCATGAATGATTTATATTTCAGTGTTAAGTGTCCTTGTGTTCTGGGCCAGCCTTGCTGTTGTATGTTTGCTGTGTTTTAACTTTTGTACCACAGTCTTTGTGTCTACATGCAGAGCCCTGCTAACTGTGTTCACAGGCTTGTAAATCAGTCTACAAAGTAAGAGAATAAAATATTGAGAAATGTCTTCTTTTTTGTTTTAATGATTTGAGAGCATTGACCCAAGTATCCAATAAAAATACAGCTGGACAGACAATAAAACATTTCAGTTTCACCACTGGGTCCATCAAGCTCTCAGTCATGTCACATGATTAACACCAGTTGGAAGAAGAAGAGTTTGCTGTCTCAACCACTGAAAATCAATTAATGTAGTTTTAGAGCTACTTAAGATAAAAAAAGAAAACATTAATATTTAAACCCACACTAACACTGCATTTACCAGGAATTTCCTCATTTTAGGATCCGATGAAGTAGAGAGAAGCAGGACTGCTGAGAGCGCTGGGCTCTCCAAATCACGGACAAACAGCATCCCACATTCTTGATTTTTAGTTCACAAACACTTCTTGTAATGACTAACTACTCCTGACATTTTGGAGATGTTAGCTCTTTATACAGTAAAGTTACAGCGGGATACAAATAACATCAGGCTGATCCTGCCACGATTTGTTCCCCCTGTCTAAATCACAGACAAACAGTATCCCACAGCTGTTTATGTTTTTAAACCCATTTTGCACAGAGAGGCATTTTTTTGAAAAATGTATTGATAGCAATGTTGAATATTATTACACAGGAAAAAAACAACTACATGTAAAATAATTACACCGTGACGCCTCTGCCTTTCTAAATAGAGGGACAGTAACTGCGTGTTTATATGTAAGCGTGTAAAACCTGAAGACGAAACAGCTGCGTTTTCAAAAATACCCGTGTAGGTGCAGACGTAGCGTAAAAGAGTTAGTAGTTTATTTTCTTACTACCTGCAGATTACTTGTATTTGCTTAATTGTTTACTAAATGTTTGAGGTGTGAAATAAACCGCAATTGAGCAAAATATGGGTGTGTGTGGTTGGAGGATGTGTTAGTGCGTGCGTGTGTGTGCGCGCGCGCGGGGGGTGGGGGGGGGACAACATTTTCTGTAAAACAAAGGCGGGCCCAGCGAAAAAAAGTTTGGGAACCACTGCTCTAAGCGATCGGCGTGAGTAACGGACAGAACAATTACATTTTCTTCCACTAGAGGGCAGTACAACTACTTCATCCAATTAAATGGATATGCAACTGCCAGTTAAACAGAAGAAGACAAAGACGAAATTATATAATTGTCATACTGTGAGACATGCAGCGCATAATAGCAACAGATAAATATTTGAAAAGGAAAAAGTCAAAAGGTCAGTCTCACCTTGGTCCCCAGATGAAGGCCCTAACATGAGTAGTGGGCAAAAGAAAGCAAAAAAGGTATACTGGGAACAAAATGAACGACTTCAACTATACCTGGTGCGCAGAGAAAAATTATCTGAACGCTTTTTGTGACATTTTGTTTGGTGGTGTGCTGTGATTTTTCTAACGTGAAAAATGTTCCGTGGCTCCAAATGGTTGGGAAACATTGGCCTATGCTGGATGCAGGGTGCAGTTTGCACTTTACCACTGCACTCTGCTACTTTAGTGCAATAAAACAAATAAATATCCATGTCTTCACTCTTCAAACGTTGTAGACTGCTCCAGCATTTTCCTCCACCCTGCATACCAATTAAAACCAGCTGATTGTACCAAAGTGCTCATGAAGTAAAGGTTGATGTTTGTTTTTCCCTTTCTATCCACCATCATTCAGTTAACTCAAGAACCTTTGTGGCATAATTGTAATGCAAGTAACAACATATTAGTAACTAATTATATTACTGAATTTAGTATAGTGCTAATGGTATATTACTGTATAACTGATAATGTAATGTCATTACAGTAAAGCCTTACTTTGGAACATGTTTCACTGAATACTGCTACATGATGTAATATAGCCTTAAATACAATAACTCTCTCACAGGGTTTATTTTTTGTGTCAAAGAACATAAATCAAACTCTGAGGGTGCAGTTTAAATTATTTTTGAACCACATCTTGAACGCAGTATAATTAAGATCAACTAAAAAAAAAAAACCCAGAGTACTGGAATGTTTTGGTTAAACCATTCTGCAAATTAGTTACCTGCTCCAGATAAAGTTTGCTTTGGGTTGGCTTCTGTCACACACTCAAATGAGTCCTCTGAAATCACTGATGTTCACTTCTGTGGGAGAGACTGCAAAAAAAGAAAACAAGAACAGATTTAATCCTGAAATAAAGAAATAACATTTCACACGTGTTTAAATCCTATAATGTTACATAAAGTACATTTTGGTGAACTTTTGTTTACTTTCAATTTCATTCAGAGAAACATTTTTTTCTTGTTGCATTCTGACACGACACCGCTACTGATTTACACTACTTTGTGGATGCAAACAAAGTGGGCTGTGGATATGTGCATGTGTCATGCTCTTAGTTGTTGATAAGATTTATATCAATCAAAGCACTGACAAAAAGCATGCATACCGCTGTGCTGTTTCACAGGATTCTAAAAAAATATCAAGGATAGCCTCTGTTTTAAAAGTTGAAACCATGCAGTCCTACATTCCAAGTGGTCACTAGCTTGCCAACAGTCACTTTCAACTATGCATGCCAAGTTTTGCCTTTTAAGGGAATTTTCAGACACATAACACCACAAATGTACCAGATCACTAAGCAAAGCTACTGAATGAGCTTTCTCTTTCAAAATAGCCTCAGCTAGTTTTGTCTTATGGTTTGACCCAACAAATCTCTTTCTCATTATCAAATTATCCTTGTGAGAGCAATTTGTTTTCATTTATATTTTGTCTGAAATGTCTATTTCTGCTTGACATTTTGACAATTGACCCTTTACTCAAAGGAAAGTCATGAGATCAAAGATGATGTGGCAAGTAAAAAAATCCTGAAGAAGAAGAACAACTTTAAATATTTTATGTTTACTGTTGCAGAAAGTATGTAAGTGAGGGTTACTGTCTAACAAAAAATGATTTAGAGTCATAAATATCTATATTACGAGCACTGAATGATCAGACTTTGCTTTTCTTTTGTTTTTAAAGTATTTTATCATTAAATATGTGCATGGCTAAATAACAATGAGTAACCAGTATAGAGAAATTATCCAAGATGTTTTTGCAGACTTTCTACAGTTTAGTAATTAAACAGCTGAGTGTAATACTGGGTGGTGTGTCTGCGACGTGCCTTTTTAAAATAGAACAACATGACATTCAGGTAATAATCCTGACTTTTCTTGTATCATACACGACAGTTTTAAACAAAAATCTGATCAAATCATTACAATTTTTTAAATCAACAGTGACACAAAAGAAGACAAATAATAAAGTACATGAGCAGCTGATACTCACAGGAGACTTGTATGTTGAAGGGCAGACTTATTTCTTTAGTCAGGAAGTCACCGCTGATGACACACTGGACCTGTTGACCATTAATCTCTCTCGTAGGAACGCCAAACAATGAGCTGACTGTGGTAGTCATACCGTTGTCATACTGGATGGAGTTTGTTGTCGTCCTCACTTTGTCTCCCAAAGCACCAGTGAGCCACCTCACCTCTGCAGGAGGCTTCGATCCAGCAGCCGTGCAGGTAGCAAATAAAACCTCTTCTGTGCCCAAAGTCAGAAGATTCTCCTTGATGCTTGTGAAAGGAGGCACTAGGAGAGTTACAGCACACAATTACTTAACATGCGAGCAACATGGTGAAAGTAACGGTTTCAAACACAAGCGCAAAGAGAATTATTCTAAATAAAAGTTGTTTTTTTCTTCCATACCAGTCACTTTTAGAGGTATTTCAATCTTCTGATTTCCACTGGGAAACAGGGTGAAGATGCACGTGTAGCTGCCTTCATCCTTCAGGGCAACATTGGATAACTGGAGAGTTCCATTTTTGTTGTTAAAATTCCCGATATATTTAAATCGATCATCACGTCCATTGACAAACCGTGTTTCTTGACTTGGTCCAACAGTGATAAAATTGTCATTACTGGGTTTTTCTCTGGTCCTCCTCTGCCAGGTAATCTGTGTCAAGTCTTCCGTGGAGTCAGTGAGTCTGAGTTTGCAAGGTAAGATAGCTGTATCGCCTTGAACGACTGTCACGCTTCCATCAATCACCTGCAGAGCTGTAAAGTAAATGAAGAAGTATTAATGATGGGAACTGAAAAAGTTGAAATAGAGTGCCCAATAAGGTTTACAGGATTAAACTCTAAAGTATAAATTAACTTGTATCTGTCCTTCTGCTTAGTTTTTGTTTGTTTTTTATGCAAGGCGCAACACATTATGTGTTGCAAGAACACTTGATGGTATTTATGACAAACTGGACTCAACCTCACACTGTATGGAGAGACAATCAAAAATCATGTAGTGGAAAAAAAAATTGGTCAGCTGTATTATATTTTATGCTCCAGCGTTAAGGAAACCGGTGCATACCTGAGCGCCTAGCCCGGACACTGTTGAGCTAGTTAATAGGTATGCCCTCATTGTCATCTGTTGTGAGTTTCTTTTGAAAGGATGCTTCCTGTTATGCTGCAGAGTGCACGCGAGAGTTCAATAAACAAAGTCACCTTTTGGTGTAAAATGTTCCGGTGAAAGCCGATGCCCCACGTGTGATTATTCCTCCATCTAGATAATAAGTATCTTCAATATTCATACAGATTCTGCTGGAAGACCCGTCTCTGCTAACAGACACCAAGAGCCACCAACGCACCGATGTTTGAGGGCGTCAGCCACTGGCAGGGAGAGTGGTGAGGGGAGACAGGCCTCCATAGCTTGGAGGGCCTGAGATGTGAGAGGTGGCATCTAATACCCAACCTGACAAATAGACACAGACAAACAGGCACACACAGATACAAACATCCATTCCCATCGCCATGCACACATACTCAGCACTCACCCAACGTCGAGATGGACATAAATAGACACTGTACACACAATCACACTCCTCAAACATACTCTAAACCCCAGGTCCAGGTACCCTTTCCCCTAGAGGGGGAAACTGCACCTAGACCAAGGAGGTGACTTTTCCCTGGAGTGGAGACAAGGAGATCGCCCCCGAGTCCCGATCCCTCATATGTAGTGTTGATGCGTGTGTGTTCTAAGGTGCACACGTCTGTTCTTTTTACGTTACGTAAATCTGAATACACGCGCACAGCTCTGTTTCGCAAACGCCGACTGAGATTGACACATGAATCTGTTTCTACAAATACCCCATCTTTCTTAGCGTTTGCCCTTTGATCCATGACTGTAGTTATATGAGCTGTGTTGTAGTGCAAGCATGCATGAATAAAGACAAAATCTTTCTACATACCGTCAGCACCGCTGCTCAGCAGGAGCACAGCCTGCAGCACCAGGCAAGGTGCCAAAAAGAAACAACACATTTCAATTTTTCCTGAAATAACTGCGCCCGAAAACACAAGTCCACCCATTTGCTTTTCTTTTTCCTGCGAGCAGCTACCCATGCAGTACAGGGTTGAGTTCAGTTAACAAGTTAGAAACACGTTTCTAAAGTGACGACGTTTCAAATCCGTTGAATACTGTGAGGGCGTGTGAGAAAAAACAACGTCCTTTCACCAACTCCGTAGGTGGAGTCAGCAACATGGTCCTTTGCCCTGTATTTCGTTTGGATCACAGAATTAAGAAATTTGCTTTCAAATGTTTGTTTTTTTTTGCATCCCAGAAGTTTTTCCTTGATGATCATTCCTCTTTGATTGTACAGTACGGTACAGTTTTGTTAAACACAAGTTTTATGATGCCTGTTAGTGGCATCAACATAAATATTCAATTAAGAGTCAGCGAGGAAGATAAAGCTGGTGACGAACAAAAAACAGGCTATGTCTGTTACAAAATGCTCATACACACCACTAAGTATGTCTTAAATTAACATTGTTAACAAGTGTTTAATTTAAACAAGAATACAAGAAACATAAACTGATTGTTCTTCTTCTTTTCGATTACACCTGTCCAGATGAAAAGTGTTTAAGTTCACTTGAAAAAGCCACGAGAAGCATCCAAATACATTTTTAGAAAGCGCCTCACTTTCAGAGTCTTAAAGTAACTGAGCAATTTTAAAAATTGTGTTTAATATTTGGGTGAAAATCATTTTCAGTCAGTTACTGGCTAAAATTTAGAATCACTTCTAGACTCAAGTCAGAAATCACCAAACACTGTAGGCTATATCAATAATTTCAACCCGTTACACACTTGGGTGGTGTGTCATACTTTTCATTGTCATTGTGGATGTTATCTAAGTTTCGACTTATTTAAAACTGTTAGTCATTTGAACTGTGGCCCGCTCCTCCACCTCCACCCTCCACGTTGCTTTAACAGTATCCCTTTGTTTGGGATCCCTGAACCTTTTAGTTTTAATTACTTTGGATCACAGATCTGGCAACTTTGTTTTTATGAAAAAAAGGGCCAGCTGTATTTTTTTTCCCATCACAGGATTTTGGCTTGTGAATTATTCCTCTTTGGTTGCACATTTTTACTCGCTACATATTATTGTACAGACTTTCTATCATTTTATTTAGTTTTGTTTTAAAAAGTTAGGGGGGGGGGGGGGGGGGGGGGGTACTATGTATGCAAATTACAGTACAACATAGTCATAGATTTGCTTTCTCTATGTTTCCAGCACTGCTTTCCCCTCTACACGATGTTTAACAATTAAATAAAATTTTTAAAAAATCCCTAAATGTTATAGCATGTAATAGATCATGTGAAATGTTTCAGTTCATTCATATTACTAAACATTTCCCATCACTCATCATCATTCATTCAGATGAAAATACACAGTTTCAGACCAAATAAATAAATAAAAGAAAGGGACTGAAGAATAGTGTATAACACAAAGTCAACCAAACTTCAGACATATCAATCTGTCCAGTTAGGAAGCATGAACCACTGTTAATCTACTTCACCTGCTTTGGTTAAAATAAAAGTGGCAACAATTCCACCGGAGAGGCAACACGACGACCCCCAACAAGACTGGCTGGTTTTATTTTTCTAGTTTTAACTCTCGCTCTCTACTGGTAGGATGAGATAAGACATGCTTCTGATGAGATGGTGGGTAGTGTCCTTTAAACTTCTACCAGACTATGTGGACCGTTTGGTGGTGTCAAATGCACAGAATCAGAATCAAATTTATTGGCCAAGTATATGTGGAAACACATACAAGGAATTTGGTTCTGGTCGATGGTGTCTCTCAAACGCAGCAATGCAAAACACACAACATATCAGCCAGAAAAGAAGAAATAAACAATACACAATATCTACAAACAACAATTCAAAACAGTAAAGAGTGAAGGTTATGGAGCATTAACAAAATCAGTGCTTTTGTCACCCAGGAATTGCCTGTTGCCTAACCCAGGCCCCACTGCATGGCTCAGGTGTCAGTTACAGACCTACCAATTCTGGTGTTCTCAGGAAAATGACAATCAAGCTGCAGGTCTGTGAGCAGACCATCTAGTTTTACAGCCGGAAGACCTGTAACTCAGGTGAACTTCCTTTTCATAATACATGGCTAATTGAAGTGCTATTCAAAGGTGAATCAATTCTATTCAATTTATAGTTTGCATTCAAACCTTGCTCAAAGGTACAAAAATAAATGGGATTAACTATGACTATGAAAAGAACCATTGACAGGCTAGGACAAGTAGTGGATGTCTAACCTTTTATCTGGGCATTGCTGGAATACCTCCATAGGGAGAGTCATTTTTTGACAAGTAGTGGATGTCTAACCTTTTATCTGGGCATTGCTGGAATACCTCCATAGGGAGAGTCATTTTTTGTGTGTAGAGTTTCAGGTTTTTATTTGTTTTCTTTGATAGAAGTCCAAAGAATAGAAAACAGAATCACATCTGAATGACACAACACCAGCAAAAGCTCAAATACAGATAATATATTACTCAAACAGATGACTCAGTACTTGAGTCATCTGTACTTATACATCATGCATCACCTGTCTCTAAAACATTCAAAAACTTTCATGTACTGACAAGTAGTGATATGTCATGAGCGAAGGCCATTTGGGAGCCAAAACAGCTGGCACTTCTTTGGGAGTCGTGCCACAAGAGCCGGCTCTCTGAAAAGAGAAAAGACTTCCCATCATTACTGACAAGATCTGAGGTAGGAAAAGCAAGTGAGACAAATTTGTTATTTGGAAAGCTACAAGCTAAGATACGTTTTTAACATCAAGTGGTTGAACTGGTTGTAATGTACTGGGTGCTGCACCACTCATGCGCTCTTTAATTTGGCCATAGGGTAACTTAACCACTAATTTAAAGTAACTGCTCTCCAACAAAGTCTAACCTCTCGTTTGGGCATGAGGTGAATTCCTAAAGAGGGAGAGTCCAATTTGAGATGTTCGAGTCTCTGTGTCTCTTACTTTTGTTCTCCTTTGATAGAACACAAGAAAATAAAACAGAGAAACATCTGAATGACACAACAGCAGCAAAAAAATCAAACAATTTCAAAAAGATTTGGACCAACTGCACAGCTAAGTCCAGTAGCGGTTTTTGATACGGGCAACACGGGCGGTTGCCCGGGGCGGCATCGTGGTGGGGGGCGGCATCACGGGCATCGGCAAAAAATAAAAATAAAAAAATTGCTCGTACTCCTGCTGCCCGCGCATATTGGAAATGGCCCATTTGCTGGGAGTAAGGGCGCCCTCCGTTTGCGAGGTGCGCCTGCTTCTTGCGGCACAGGGAGGAGAGGGCGGCCCGGCGGGGGATTCTCTGACCGGCTGGAGCGGAATCTAACCAACTCGCAAAATAAAACAAACCAACACGAAAACACCAGACATTATGATACAGACTTATAATTTGCACCGATGTTTTTTCGAAATTCTATACGCGAAAAGTGAGCGCGAGAGCCCTCGGTGCCTGCTGCTGCTGAAGTCAAAGTAAACTTTATTGTCATCTCCGCTACATACAGTCCAGTATATAGAGAGACGAGACGACGAGGCTCCAGTTACAGCAGTGCAAGTAAACAAACAATGGTTCAAACCTGAGGGTTATCAGGTTTGAAGGGGCCCCCTCTAAAGTATACTGAAGAAACAGCATGGACCTACCCTCTTGCCCACTGCTGCAGGTGCCATAGGAAAGTAGTAGATAGATATATACATGAGTGCAGGTGGTGATCAGTGCCAAACATGGAATGATGCAGTGAACACAGCGTAGGGTCATGTGTTAGTGGTGGGAACAGTCATACGGTTATTGTTCATGTGTCCAACAGCAGAGGGGAAGAAACTGTTCTTATGGCGAGAGGTTCTGGTGCGAATGGACCGGAGCCTCCTGCCTGAGGGGAGCAGGTCAAACAGACTGTGTCCAGGGTGAGAAGGGTCAGCTGTGATCCGAGCTGCACGCCCCAGTGTCCTGGAGGTGTACAGGTCCTGCAGAGATGGGAGTCTGCAGCCAATCACCTTCTCAGCAGAGCGCACAACACGCTGCAT